ATGAAATTCATTCGCGTCGAGAGGGAGAGCCCCGAAAAGCCGAGACTCTTGGCCTTTACGATGCGTTCCATCTCATCACATTGATCGCGCCCGCCGCTTTACGTGACAATAAAAACCCTTCAAAAGTGATTGCGATGACTCTGGCCCATATGCCGAGCATTATTATTTTCTCTCCCGAACGCAAGCAGGTCAAGGGGCCAGGTCAGACTGCTCTGCACAATGAGACACAATTAACTAGGACTGGCTGACTGTGTTTTATTTTCCCGGGCACCCTGCAGATTGACGCTTGAGAGGAGCAAACGTTTGGCAGAAGTCTTTTGTATTTCAGAATTTCAATTAATTTGTCACAATATAAAAGCGGTTGTGTTCCTGACCAAACGGTCGGTTTCGAGTGGTTTGTCAGGCAAGAAAAAAATAGAGAAGAGCACTGCGTGGTTTCGACCAATTATTTTCAAGTGCTTTGGAGGTAGATGGAGGGAAAGTCCCTCTATATGATGTAGCAAACTTTAGCTTAACGCTTTTTATGAACAATGAAAAGAACTTGGTACTTTTTAAGTCAAAATTTTAATTTTTTTATAAGAGTGCGATGAAAAGGAAAATTATTTTCTTTGTAACTCAACCCAAACAAAAATTACTCTAATTAGTGAAATTACATTCATTTTCCGTGAAACAAAATTTTGGTTGCCAAAAGCCTTTGATAACTAATAACAACAAATTTATCTTGTGCCATCCTTTAATTAACTACAAACTTATTTCCGAAATGTCAAGCAGATTGTCAAGCAAAACTTTTTGGAGCCAATCTGCCTGCGAGCACAAAGTAAGCAGAAACAGGTGGATCGAAGGCTAATCAGTGTTCAAAGTTGATATAGTTGTTTATATATAAGAGTATTTCGACCGATCGGAGTCCCTTTCGACGGCAAAGTCTGCTATGCTTTTTTCCTCCGGCGAGCTTGCTGCTCTGGAAAAGTTTCGAGTATAAAAAAAGTTCGGCCCCAAGGCCTCGTCCGGAGAAACAGACCGAAAAGCAATTATATTTAAAATTTTCTCCACCGCCGCACAAAAGGCAGCTGCCGGATGGCAAAAGGATATGAAAAAAAATCATATTGATTCAAGCCTTGGGTGTTTTTCGCATACTGCACCATATCTGTATATGAATAACGAACAATATTTTATTCATGATTACGCACGGCGTCTATAAAATCACACAATTTATGAGCAACGCCAACCCTCATCACTCAACCCCAATTTCCTCTTCGAGTTTTTGGCCTCGAGCATACACATCATGCGCCACATCAGGCATCAGTATCGCTCCATCCGATTTACGAGCCCATCATGGCATATTTGTGTGCCGCTCATTTATTCGAGCAAATGTGTGTTACATACACACGCGAGTGTCAATTCAGTAGGAAACCCTTCCTCCATGCGCCTATTTGCATGGAGCATATGAGAGACTGATTCGAGTTGTCTGAGGGGCAAATGCGTCTTGGTAATTTTCCTAGTTGGTGCTGAGCGTCAATTTCATGCCGAACTCTGCGGCCGTACATGCAAACCAGATTGTTTGCTAACTTGTTGCTGACAGCGATCAATCCCCCCCCCCTCCCAATAAATATCTTAAATATCACATGATATTTGGTGATTATTTGATTGTAATTAAGTGTTGAGATGTATTATAGAATTATATAACTATTCAAGTAATATATAAAATTAAAAAAATATATATATATTTAATCACTCTAACATCTTTAAAATTAGTTTTATAAAGGTAAAAGTATGTATAATAAAATTTCCAAAAATAAACAGATTAATGTACAAATTAAAATACTCTAAAATTAAAAATAATATTTATTTTTATGTTAAAATTGACATTCTTTTTGAATTTTGTTTTTACAAAAATACAAAATAGTAATATTTTTTACACAAATTTCTGCAATACAATTATATTTTAAATTTACAGACAAAGCAATTGCAATTGAATTAAATTTCATACTATATAATAAAATTTTAAGTAACTGCCCAATTTTATTCATAAAATCTAGTAACTAAACAATTAATTTTTTAATCGTATCAAAATAATAAAGATTGATTGGTAGTTAAAATATTCTTTATATAAATTCTCTATTTAAGCACAAATTTTTCGCTTGAATATCGAAAGTTTATAAGATAATCGTTGGCTCAGCACCTGCATGAAGCGTGTAATAGAGTTTCAAGAGTCTTTTCACCCTTGCCGTCTTTTTCAGTGCAAACCAGACTCGTGCATTACGCTTGCCCGTACACATCCTCTCTTCACATCTAGCATGGCGGAAAATTCGCAAAGCAGAGATGCAGTGCTTATGCTTTAAAATATTAATGCTTCACCCTAAGGCAGGTCTGAAATGCTGCGTACTACATTATAGACACGCACGTGCCCACATAAACTATGCATTTTGTGCCTCCTTAATACCTTTAACATTATGATCTTCCTTTCCGTGAATAAGCTTGAGCTTATTAAACTTGCAAATGAGCTTTTCATTAATAAGTAATGATTTCCACTTACAAGAATTATTTAAATTTTTAAAACAGAAAAAAACAGTACAAACATCTAGTTACGTTTATGTAATTAGTTATGAATCTCGATAAAGGAGCTTTAAAATTTCCTTCAAGATGGTTTCCCATGAAAGTTCATTTCGGAGGCCGTGGCACACAAACAGCTCGGAATTCGCATGAAGACGCACGTATTCTGAACTCTGGCAGCCACTCATGTGGCTCTCGCTGGGCTGAATGTATGTGAATATTTGATACGCAGCACAAGAAATTTCACCCCTTCCGACGGGCACGCTCGCTCGTTCTTGCTGTCTCGCCGTATCCAAAGGATCTAGTTGTAGTCGGAAAAGGGATAACATCCGACCGTAGGCACTGTTCGAGAGTTTGGCAAGACGCGAGTGCCGACTCGTGCAGGTTGCCTATATCGCGATCTTCGCAGGCGCTTTGTTTACCTGCTCCGCCGTGCAGAGAGAAGAGCGTTCGTACACACATTATGATATGGGGTGTCGGGCGCGAAACTATAACAAGCGATTTTTCTTCCTACCGGCTTCTGTTCTTGCCGAGTGGGTGGATTTCATCTGTGCTTTGGCCCAAGGCCCTTTTTTGATCCCAAAACAAAGAAGAGTTTTCGGTAAACAAAAAATTTCCCCGCGCAAAAACAAATATTTTCAAGCAAACTTCCTTTGTTATAACAAAGCAGTAATTTTTGGTAATTGAGCTTTAGGTATGTTGTTAAATTTTCAATTAGCACAATTAAGTTGCATTAAAACATCAGCCCTTCATTTTGAGTGGAAGTCAAATGACAGCGAAAGTAAAGTTCTTCCCACACAGCAGCGTGCGCACGTAAAATGTAAGTATGCGTGCACATTCTCGTGATAAAATTTAATCCGAGCGGCAGGTTTTAAGCCGCAGCTGAGCGATGGAAATAAATGAGCGGGCGGATGGTCGTGGGCCGTGTTATCTCTTTATATTACGTGAGGCGCGCGCGAGGGGTTTGAGCAGACACACGAGTGAGTTTCAGACCTCTGTGTACACAAGGTGTGTACACATTACGTGCATTTCTGATGGATTGCGCTTGTGCGAAAGGGGTCTAGCGTGCACCACCCGTGTCAAATTTATCAAAGGGGATTAAAAATGTGCGGTTTGCCGAGACTATAGTATTTTCAATCCTTTTCTTGCACCTCCCACGTTCTCCAAATTTTGCAGATTTTTTTTGAAGAAAATAGAATTCCTATACACAGAAAAAAAGTTCCCTTGAGGATGTTTGGAAGTTGTTACATTGAATATAAAGACTAATGGATTTCGATTTTCACCTTTGATAAAGCCAGAGCCTAATTAAGTTTGCTTTGTTTAAGAGTTTGAGTCAAAATGTGCTACTTTGATTTTCCGGCGTATTCCAATCCGGTGACCGTGACAACTAAATTCCGTCTTTTTTTTATCTTGCAGACTAATTAGTCGTTTTCTTTTTCATCTGATTTTCCCGCGGTGCTTTTTGTGATGACGGAATATTTTTAATAACAATTCCTGCAGGCAATTTATGAAAAAGATATGAAGGAAAAGGAAAGTCACTGTGGCTGTTGCTTAATAAACATAGCAGCCTAATAAGATCAAAAGCATTTTTATTCTAATCAAATTCTTTCTCTGCCTCTTTCTACATTTTATTTAAAAAGCTCTGGTGATCTGAACTTATTGGCAGCAAGATTTATAGAGTGCTGATTCATGACAATTATGTCATAAAGGGACGATTTGATGGAACAAAAAAAAATGAGGAAGTATGAGTCACATTATATGAATTAAGTCATAATTCAATTCATCTTAACTTTTTTACATGTAAATTTTTTCACGCTATTATGACATTATTTAATTAAATAAATTAAATAAATATAAAAATTTTAATGGAAATGAAGATTCGGGCTTTTCCTCGTTGCAAAAAATTGTTTTTTATTCAAAAACAAACGGCTCTACCAGTTTCGGTCACGGTCTGCGACCCTATTTCATGAGCAAACGCGCTGCTCGCTGACTAATACAAGAATTTCTTGTATTAGTCAGCGAGCAGCGCGTTTGCTCATGAAATAGGGTCGCAGACCGTGACCGAAACTGGTAGAGCCGTTTGTTTTTGAATAAAAAACAATTTTTTGCAACGAGGAAAAGCCCGAATCTTCATTTCCATGATCATCTCCTCGAGTGTCAACTTCTTCAAACAAAAAAATTTTAATAAATTAATATTTGAAATAAATTTTTTTTTTTAGACTACAAAAAGATGCTTTGCAGCACTTAAAAATTTTATATTTTTGCCATTGATTGCTATTCTGGAGGAAATTGAAAATGTCCCATTTTCAATTGAAACCGCAATATCCTGATTTTGCATGCATCAGGAGTTTGGGCGAAAAACGCAGCGTGCGGTGTTGTGTGCCACTCGTCAGTGGGACGAGTGCACTCAAGGCCGCGCGCAGAGTTAAAGTGCATGATTTTCCACTTACCCAAGTCTAGCACCTCGCACGGCAGTATGACATTATTGCCAATCACCTCCCGGAAGGTTTGACCTCTGGAGAGGAACTTGGGTGCCATGTGATCCCGCGATGAAGAGGGTTGAAGCAGCTCTCTGCGCTGGGGCGAACCTGCAACACGCGTCACACGCCTTTTAGCGACCACGCCAAGATGCTACTTTTGCTGCTTTCACAGCACAATGTCACCCGCCAAACCGCACCATTTAACATTATCGACCGACCGAAAACGGCGTGACATCGAGATTAGAACGCCTATAGCTGGGTCTTCATTATCTCGCTAGGCTCTTCAGATTTTCCTGCCGAGCCGGGAAAGGATTTTATGCGGGAATCGAAAAACGAGACATGTTTCGACTTTATAGAAATGAACGTTTTGCACAATATTTGGGGACAGGTTAAGATGGTGATCAACAAAATATACCACCTTCAAAGATAAGAGCTAAAAATATAATTTAAACTAAAAATAAGATAAGAAGAAAAACTTTGTCAACCGAGGCATACTGCAGCAGATGAGGTATTTTTGATCTTGAAAGTTTTAGCAAAATTCTTGCTAGTGGTGGTGCTGTTTTGTCCAACAATTCCTTTTCTATACAATTTGTTTTCAACAAGTGAATGTAAAAAATGTATAAATTATAAGGAACAATAAGCAACAATAAGAAAAATAATAAAAATTTTAGAATTTCATTCATTTATTCTATATTTTAATATCTTTACATGTTTCGATTTCTTTCCCCTAAGATTTCCAACAATTTAATTGTTGTTTAAAAAATATGTGTAAAAATTTTACTTCTTGAAAGTTTAAAGAAACATACAAATGCTGAAATGTAAACAAACATATTGCAAAATATAAATCGTGTTCTTTGCCAAAAAGAATATTATAATGTTTGAATTTTATAATTTATAAAATTATATCAATTTCACCGATAAATATGTAACAGAACTCATGGTTTTTATATAGTAAAATAATTGTCGCTTCTTGATTTTTTCAACTATTTTAAAAAGTAAATCCCGTACCTATAAGTCAACGCATTTCCCCCCGTTTAAAAGTTTTGCGTCCGTTCTGCTAATTATATTAAAGCTCATTAACCAGTTAATCTTGCAGGAAATTAATTACCTTCACTTCTTAATCTGCTTATGGAAAGAGGAGAAACGAAAACCAGAAAATCTATTACACCTAAAATTTTACAGAAAATGGACGTAATTGTTTTTTCCTCTGAGCCTATTTTCCTCTCGGCTAAGCACCCTAATTATAAACAGTAGTTGAGGCTTTGCACGTAACGACTCATTCAAATAAAAAATTCGCTAAACGCACACAAGCAAAAACATGCGCATGTAGGAAATGAGCAAAAATTTCCGTCCAGCAGAGAGTGACGGCCGTGTGGTGCGTTAATTAATCCTCTTTGTTTTGACTGCCTCAAGCCCAATTTATTAAAAGTCTGAGCACTTTTAATACGCGCGCTCCATCGTTTGGGCTCTCGAGCAGGGCGAGTGTGCCAAAAAGTAATGTATTTTCCGCTCGCCGACCGAGTCTATGCATCTTCATTTATAAAACAAGCATCATACGCCGGCGTGCGCACCTTTCGGGTAATTTATGAGAGTGGCTTATCCCCTTACATGGTTGCTCGCAAGGCACGGATTTTTCTCTGCTCCGCCGAGTATGTATTTCAACTCGCCGCGATAATGAATTGTATTCAAAAAGACATATATCACGTGCACGTCACCTCCTCGCCGAGATGGAGAGCTTTCTTTACGAGGCGCTCGAGGAAACTCCAAGTCCCGTAATGGAGTGGGTTGAAAAAAATTCGCCGCTTTGTCTCAGCGGACTAACAAACCGTCGGCTTTTTGACCGCCCCGTTTAGAAAATATAAAAAAAGAGCCTGGCACGCACACACGTGACCCCAAATTCGTCAGCGCCTCGGGATCGTTCTAGCATGACTGCGTTTTTCCATTTCGGTGCCGTGTTGCGATAATGTACTCTTTCAAGCAAAACACATACTTTTCAATTTTGCAAATGGAAAATCCGTCGAGTAGAATGTTACGCTCTATGGCTGGAGCGATCGAAGAGCAGTGCGTACATATTTCATGCGTGGCATTATTATTTCAATGCTCTCACAAAAATAAACATAAATTATTTTAAGACTGAAGGTGGATAATTTCCCAAGATTAAACTCACTCAGCGCATTGGCTCATAAATTTTCACTTCAAAAAATTCCACTTTTAGTAATGAATAATTAAAAATAGTAGCAAAATATTTAAATACTTCATTTCACAAAACCTATCAGAGTCCAGCTGAGTTTCGTCGATTTACTGATCCACATAAATAATGTAGCAACTTTGTTCTTCAACACTTGCAGTTTATTTTAATCGTTATATAACGATTAAAATAAACTGAATATATATTCAAATGGGTGCTTCATAAAATTTCTGATTAATGACATAATTAATTGTTTTATGTGAGAAAAAGCTTAATTCGAATGAGTAAGTGTAAATTATTAAAATGGCATCTTCTATTCACAACCTTTTTGCGTTTTTTAATACTTATTTTGATATACAACTCTCACAATCGGTAATTAATTGAAAAGTATGACATATTCATGTGAGCAAAAGATGATAACTTTTTTAGTTCCTTTCTTTTTAATTTTAATAAAAAATTAAACAATCTAATACAATAAAATAGCGTTAATAATTATATTCCTTGAAAACTAAAATAAGATAAAAACATTATTTTAATTGAACTAAAATAAAAATAACTTAAATTTTAAAAAACCAAAGGCGGCCGCAGTTAATTTACTTGCCACCGTGCGATTTCTGCAGCAACAGCATTATTACTGCTTTTGGATACGCGCACAAACAACTCTCGGCTGAACGAACTCACTTCACATGGAGCAACCCTGCTCTGAGGGGATGATTTATTGCGATAAGAAGCAACAAATTATTCCCGGACCGCGGTTCGGCCCATTCGACGACGTGGGCACCTGTTCCGAAAACACGGTCGAATGGTTTTGCGGGGACTGACTGACTCTCTGAACAATAACAAATTAATTAAAACATTGACAACGCCGGTTAATGTGGGTGGAGAGAGAGAAACGCAGAGATAATGGTGGTATATATGTGTGTTCACCGGTCGTGTGCTGTTGTTGTGTTTTACATGGTAATTTAATTTATGGGCTTCTAAAAGCATTACGCCTTGCCAGGGAGGTGGGTCCCTGAAATTAATTTCCGCCGAGCCAGCATTTTATCTCATCAAGCCTTCTTGTCGCTGTCAGTGTTTGCTCGCGAGTTTGGAAAAAAAATTGGGCGGCGAACGTGCGGCGTCAAATGAAAGTGGTAAATTTTCTTGTGGGCGTTGATTTCTATTACAAGAAAATTGAGCCTTCTTTCATTAGCGAAATATGTTCGTTAAAATTTGTTATGTCTGGGAAATAGAAGATTCCATTCAATGAAATGAGTTTTGAATTTTGCAACTCCTTGCTGTGAAATATAAATGGCCCATTTTTATTAAAAGACAATTGCTCCAAAGACAGAATTATAAAAATAAGATTCTTTCTCTTCTCCTAAATCAAGAAGTGGAAGTAAATTTTCATTAATTGAATTTTGTAGGTGTGCTCGGGTTCATGTCATATAGAAACACTTATTGGAAAAACTCCGCAGCGGAAAAGTGCTGGCTGAGAATAAAAAAAGATGTTATTCCTATGGCATGAAAAAGTTTCATTTCTGTTTAATGCCGTTTTTCTTCGACAGACAGACAGACTTTTAGAATCTCCAAAAACCTTTCAAAAAGTTTAAAATTGAAGTTTATTAATTCATGGATTTGTTAATTATTCCACTCGAGACTGATAAACATTTGAAAATTTCATCATTCCCAGAGTCAGCGAATGGGGAAAGAGTTTCAAATTTTTTTGCCTCTGAAAGCTTCAAAAACTAATTTCCCAGTTTTATTAATTTTCTTGGAGGGTGAAATGATAGGATGGCTTTTTCAGGGGGACGCACAGAATTTCCATAACATCTTGCATGCTAATTTTTATTTCCCAGAGGAATCAAAACACGCTTCTGCAATTCCCCCCGTCGCCGCCACCGCAAAGTGAAATATTTATTCTACAATTTGGGCGACTCAAAAGTTGGTGCGGAGTAATTGCATGGTAATTGAATATTAAGTTTTGCTCTCAGCAGGTGGAGAGATGAAAACGAAGTTCTCCCCAGCCCATTGTGCAGTCGGCTTTATTAAGGCGTTTATAAAATGGAGCGTGTGAGAGATCCGCACTTAAGCGTGCATCTTGCAAGAGCAATATCCGAAATAAGCGGAGCTAATTTAGTTAATCTTCACCTGGAAATTGCCCTGTAAAATGTTCGTTGCGCGGCTGCGAGGTTGCGATTATTATTATTACTATTAAACCATCAGCCCCGTCTTTCTCGCAGCGGGACATTAAATTTTAATTGCCGGAATAAAATGTCATCATCTCATTACCCGGGGTGAGTTAAAGCTACCGCTCACAAATTTCCTCATGGATCGCGGGAGAACGATCGTAAAACGACTTTGATAAAATAAACGCCATCAATTTCTCTGCACCGCGAGTGCTGATGGTCGAAGAGGGCGCCTCGTTTTTTTCCTTTTCGCCCCCAACACTGCCCTATTATAGGGAAACACTGCACTGCATGGTTTTATGGCCGCGATCAAATTGCGTGACAGACATAAATGTCGTGTGTCATTTCAACGGCATAGACTCTATACGGTGATGATATACGTATGAAAGGTCGGCTCTTTGCAATAAGCATATGGACCCGACTGACACAACAGAGAGTGAATGGCCCAGTATAGCGTTTCTCAACGTTTCCATTTATATGATTGGATACATCCTTTTTACTTCCCTCTTTTTTTTCTTTGGTGAATAGGTCTTTATTTCATATTGTTTATCCCTGTTTTGTTATTTTTAGCCAAGTCTATGCCAAAGATTTGCCTTTATGCATAATTGATTGATATATAACATCATAGGAAAATAATAATACTTTTTTACTATGCCATCTTTATCATTTTTCATTTAAACATGATTTAATTCAATAAAGCAAATCTGCCTCTCATGCAAGTTAAGTTATTCCATAAATATGTATAAATCGTT